TATATTTATACAAAAGATTAATGTCGTAAAGTTGACAAGTATAGTAGTAATTTTGGGGTTTCTTGTCACTTTCTTCTACTCAAGTCACATCACCTCTGACCTTGGCGGATACGTTGCATGCGCTAGACCGGCTTCTGAAACTGATGACGTGTATAAGTCGGCTAATCCGTTTCCTCCACATCAGTAGAGGCCGTGGCGTGGGATGAGCCATAATTTCCTTCTTCTTCGTATGGACCATTACATGATGATCCCATGAAGCTTTGCAGTGTTCAATTTCAGACCTTGCTTTTCCCTTTTCCCATGAAGTTGCTCCGTTTTCTCCGAATTTGATAGAAATGAATGAATCTATAAATATTTATAAAAGTCATTAGGACACAATTTTTTTAGTATTAGCATGGTTAATTGTGTTACAACTCGGGACCCAAACAAAAAAAAAGACGGATTTAGTTATGGTACCTTCTGGACTGATGATGGAAGTGGTTTGGTGATTAGACTTGTGGTGTGGCAGTTCGAAGAAGCCAAAGAAGGAGAAGAGTCTGATGTTTTTCTTTTTAGAAGAATTTCGAAGAATGTTTTTCGGTTCTTTGATGGTGTGGTAAGAACAAGAAGGAGATGAAGGACGTAATCTCTGTAGAGAAGCCAACACAAGAAGCCTCTCGTTGAGACAGAGAGGGCAGACACCTTCAGTAAACTCTATTGGATGGATGTTGCAAGAAGATAACGAGCTTTGGTTCTCTAGCTTCATGGCTCTTTTTTCAGAAAGAGAAAGAGAGAGAGTGGTGGAAGTCGATTGTGTTATTTTAGAAACTTGATCCAGCAAATCTACTTAAGATGGCGAGAATGTGTTTGTGTTGGGATAAAATATTTTACGAGTTGTCATTGTATATAAATGGAACAAGTTAGACGAAAATATATTATGATTTTGAAATTTATTGATTCGAAATATTTTCATGATTGGTAGTGAAGAATATAGTTATTAGGAAAAACACTTCAGAAAAATCTCTCGATGGTTGGTACATGATTGTTATTCTCGATTTCAAGTACGACAAAACTCATGAGTCGTATTGATCTAAAGAATTCAAAAGTGCAAACTAAATTATGCGTCTATCTATGAATATATTAAAAGAACTTTAGTTTCACTTTCGGGTGAAAAGAAACGCTCGTAAATTTGGGTCGGAACACATGTGAACGGTGGTGGGTGAATGGCAATTATGACATAATCCCGGCATATGAGAAAAATACAAGCAATGCAATTATCATGCTGTCTTGGGGCCCACATTGTACCTATCCACAATCATTTCATTTTCCTAATTTTGTTGTTGTTGATGTGTGTATAAAAAGTTGGAAAAGTGCATTTGAGGTCCGGAAGGTTGTGTTGTGTTGAGTTTTCCAATGAATATTTTGAATATATCTATTTTCTGTTTAGTTTTTATTTTTAGCCAATACTAAAAATTTGTTTTTTCCATAAAATATTGTTTTATATTATTTTAAAAAGTTTTTGAAAAAATCACAGGGTTAATACTAAGAAATATCAATAATCTATCTATACAGACAACGTAGAATAGAAAAACCATAGCCAATCAAGAAACGAACAGAGTATTTAAGCTAGCAGTAAACACGAAGCAACGCAATCAGCATTTAGATCACCAAACGCAAGTACCAGGTACGAGATTGATATCGTAGTTGCTACGAGCCTCTGTGACCATGGCCAACCCTCAAGACCATATATGCAACAACACCTACAGCTTCTTTGGGAACTACTGCGAAAGAAACATGCAATCGATGAGTCCATTACCTTTTTTAACCAATCGAAAACTCCGCCAATGGTTTAGAGAAATGAATCAAGACCCCAAGTGCAACTTAGATCCAAGAACCTGAGAAACCGCCTCCAAACCTCGGACCTGAACTGGCAGCGATAAGCCTCAAAAACAACTCCTCCGACTAACCCATGGACCACCGACAGACCAGATCCCGGAGGACCACGACATCTCCTAACGCCGAGAAAAAGAAAGATATAAGCGATGAAAGAGGGCTCTCTCACGGCACCGGGGAGGATCTTGCCTTT